ACCTTTTTTCTTTAGATTATTTACATGAGAACAATTGTCCACATTTTTGTTGTTGTTGGTTAGTTGTTTGATTTTGTTTAGTGGCATATCAACCTCTATGGGTTATTTAATTCCGAAATTTACATATTTTCTACGTAATTTTGATTTCAACCACATATATACTGTACATAATTTTATACACGCAGGGTAGAGTTTTATTTTTTCACAAAATATATTGTTTATATTTTTACTATAAAAATGTATTTTTATATTTATTCAGTGTTGCATTGCTTGTCATTTTGCAATAATAATCTATTCTATCTCATTTTACTATAACAAAACGAATGTTTATTTTTGTTTTGGGGTTCGCTATTTGCCCATTACTGGGACCCTATCAGGTGCTACCACCACGGGTCAAGGTAGACCTTGACTTGACTTGATGCGGCATTCACCCTGACGTAGAGACAGGAACGACCAGAAGCCGCCGGTTGCCGATGCAGACGCTCCTTGGATTTTCTTCACCAGAGCCCTTGTTAGCCGGCGTGTGTGTCAGACCTGTCCGCCTTGGGTGGCCCTACCAGGAACGAAGTTCCGGACGGCATCGCTCTGACACTACCGTTTTACACCCCCCCCACAGACTGTGAGGTAAGGGTTGGACTTTTGGCGGCTTACGGTCAAATCACGCTGAAAACACCGGTTCTCGTTAGATCACCGAAGTTAAGCATCGTAGAGCCAGGTCAGTACTTAGATGGGGACCGCTTGGGAACACCTGGTACTGTAAGCCCCCAAAGTTCAAAGTCAAGGTAGACCTGGGAAAAAAAGAGGTGGTTACACGCTCATCAATCAGAGGACTTTCTGCCAGATGTAGTTTATTGTCATACCCAGGACGATTTGTTGTTGTTACCATCGTTTCGACCGTTGTACCCTCTGGCCTTCATCAGGTGTATGCCGATCCGTGCAACCGGCGGCGAATTTGGAACATAATCCTTTAAATACGAGGGTGGCCTGTTCTCGTGCCACATCTTGTCTAGTTCATATATCCCTGTTTCTACTGAGGCTAAGTACATACTCTCTAACACAGTGATTGAACTCGCAATCACTATACCAACAAATCCACGAACCTACGATTTAATACAATATGTGCCGATTTAAGATTTTAAAATTATTCCGTGTGCCAACGGCATACATATTTTTTTATATACGTCAAGATCAATATATCTGTTCTACAATATATTTTATATAGTAATATATAGTATATATACTTTAGTATATATTAAAATTGAAACAGCTAAATATCTTCTTTGCGTTGTCGTAGTTATTGGTTCGGACTTTGTGATGTTATTTGCGGTTGCATGCCATTGGAAATAGCTTGGTGTACCACGTGTGCCACACGTGACGTACGTTGCCGGCTCCTGCATTGTTCTATTGAAAAGTGATGAATTATTTATACTTTTGTAAATAATGATAACTTGACTCAACCCAGAGATTCAAACAGAAAATACAATTGATCTGCTTGTCTTTGAAATCATCATTTCACAGTTAGAGTTTCATTTTTGCTCGAACACCAGTCACATTCCCCAGTGCAAAATGTGCAACTATTTCAGCCACCATGAGGGCTCTTGTATGCCTTAAATATAAGCATTAGGAAAGACGTAGGCGATCATAGCTCTTCACCTTTCTCAATCCCTTGTAGCTCTCAACAAGTTACCTTCCTCTGCCACCTCCCCCAAACCACGTTCTGTCATCCACTTGCTTAAGGCCGCTAGGTATGTCATGCGTTGTTTTACCTTGTTTTTCTTTCACTCTTTTTGATTCGTGAGTATCAAATTCTCCAAGCCCTTCTTCCTCATTATGTGTCCCGGAAACTTCAGCTGCCTCTTCCTGATATTAAGTATAAGCCTCCTCCTAAGATCTCATCGTTCCTCACACGTTCGTTCCATGATATCCTTAGCATCCTTCTGTAGAACCACATCTCTGTCGCCTCAAGTTTTTTTGTAAGGAAATCATCCAACGTTCGCTGTCGTAAAGAAGGGCAGATGTGTCACTAGAAAATCTTGACATCAGAGACGAACAGGACAAAGTTTCAGTCACAGCAATTGGCAGAGATATAGAAGGGGAAAAAGCAAAATAATCTGTAGCCAACAACAACAACGAAAATGAAAATGGCAATGCAGACATATATAAAGGTGGGGTGAGTAAAAAGAATTGAAGAAAATGTCTTTTTTTCTATCAGTTGTTCGAGTTATCTTCAGTCAGTGTGGTGCTCATTGGGTCACGTGATATATTTTGCTGGCGCGAAAACGCCCAAGCCCTGCACCGCCCCTACACGGCAACTGGGATTTTCTGGTGGCAGCTTGTGGTTATCGATTTCCTTTCATTGTCGATTAGCAATCACAGTTTGAATTCCGGTCTCCTTCTCACGATAACGTCTCGCAGTACAGCAAACATTGCGTCGTTAAACTGCCAACCGGTGAAAGGTTTCTCGTTATCTCACAGAAACTTTGCTGCATGTAAAGGTGATAATTCTATCGGAAAATAAGAGCATTTGGGACTGTGAGCCCTGTGTAACACACACACACACACACACATATATATATATATATATATATATATATATATATATATATATATATATATATATATATATATAAAACTCAAACACTAATATTCCATGTTTATAATTTACTACATTGGAATCGTAATCACGATCAATTCATCAGACCTATAAATTCAAAAGAAAACAGAAAATATAACTCTGGGTATAAAAAAAAATTTAAAATTTAAAAATTTCTTCCACATATACACACTCACTGAAATTTTGTTTTTTTGTTCACTGAGTTACATTTTCTGTTTTCTTTTTGAATTTGTAGGTCTGATGAATTGGATCGTGATTACTTCTCAATGCAATAAATTATAGCCATGAAATATCGGTGTTTGAGCCTTTTATAATATATTCTTACTCTGTCTTATACATCGCGGTCTACCTGGTTTATATCCTCTTGAAATGTATATATATATATATATATATATATATATATATATATATATATATATATATATATATATAATGTTAATATTATCTATCTATCTATCTATCTATCTATCTATCTATCTATCTATCTATATATATATATATATATATATATTGAACAATAAAAATATTAAAAAATTAAAATCTTCAGAGACACTGGGTTGTAGATTAATATTCTTTCGTTTTTTTTTTATTATCATTTCATTTAGATTCCTCGACTAGTTTCGGCCAAAATGCCCATCATCAGGAGAAGAAATATTTCTGCTTGCTGGTAGCAGTGAACTACAGAAATGAATATATATATATATATATATATATATATATATATATATATATATATATATATATATATATATATATATAATTTCTTAGGATTTAATGGACTTAATTTTTAATCAGAGATCATTCCATATTATTCCAAACGTTATTACATTTGTAGAAAAGAATATATATATATATATAAAAGATTATATATATATATATATATATATATATATATATATATATATATATATATATATATATACCGCTTACCCTGGATAATACAATAGACTTCCATTGACGAGGATATGTAGATATCCGAGCCAAAACACAAGACATTTCGCCTGAAAATTGCGTTTAAGCATGAAGTAGACGCTCGTCGCTGAGTATTGGCCTCAATGTCCACTTATACATATGAAGCCGCCCTTCAGGCAGACATTACTTTAGCTGCTACGGAGGTCTTTTGGGCCTTTTTACCTATGTACGTAAAATTTAGAAATAATAAAATTATTTTTTCTTTATTCGACACCATAATACCACATAAATTTCTTTGTATACGCAACCGATCCCTATACTTTGTATACATTTATGTTGCGCGCCATTTTTCTTTCACCATTTGTTATGATTCCTTGATATAACATCACTACTAAAAAAAAATTAGAACTATTTAATATTAGCAGTAGAGTACGGTGTTGCCCGGGGATGTAACAGTAAGAGATAGATCAAATATCGACCATCATAAAGACTGAAAAATAAAATTGACAAAGATTATTGTTTAAGGTTGATGGACACGCATGTCTTAATTAGTTTTTTTTTTGTTTTTTTTTACGAATTGTTCAAACCCAAACTCAAACAAAAACATTGTTTTCAATTGTTATGAGTCTACTGATTGAATAGAATTTTATTATAAACAATTGTCTTGTAAATGGAATTTTTAAAGCATTCTGAATGTACAAATAAAGAAAAAAGTGTGCAAGGCAATAAGAAACACTACCTACGAAAAAAAGTGAAGTTTTGTTGAAATCGGTTTAAAAATGTTGGAAATTTGATCCCATATATAAACGAACACGCACACAAAAACTACCTGAGTTTTATAATAAGTATAACTCGATATGAGTTGTCCCCCTTTCATTCTTGCGACAGCGATGCCTCTTAATCGTGTTTTCAAATTGATTTTATGCAAAAACAATTGTGTTTTTCCAATTTTTGGCGCTGTCAGAACCACTGCAAGGTAATTTTACGTAGTCCTGTGAAGTTTTGTTGAAATCGGTTGAAAAATGTAGGAAATCCGATCCAATATATAAACGTACAGACACACACACACAACCTGGGTTTTATAATAAGTATGATTTCGAATTCGTCACAGCACGTTTGCTAGAAAAAGAATAAGAAACTTATCAGTAAAGTACCGTGACTCTCATTAAGTTTTATTTAGTTTAATTAGACAATAACAATTGTAATTTCAGCGAAAAGCGAAATTAAAGTAAAACCTTTAATAAAGAATTGTTTTTTTTAAACCTTTCCCTCTGTTCCATATTTAAATTTTACTTTAAATGAGTTACATATTTCATTTTTAAATGCCTGTAGCTACAGTAGTTATTACGAAAAACGGACGGACACACACACACACACTGCGCTTTACATATATATATATATATATATATATATATATATATATATATATATATATATATATATATATATATATATACAATTTGCTCTATGCTCTATGATCTTTTCTCTCTTGTTTTCGTTCCTCTTTTTCATTTTTCCCCCCTCTTTTCTCCTCGTCTTTGTTTATCATTCTGATTCCTTTATTATTCATTTTCATTCTTTTACCCTTCTCTCTCTTTTTCCCTTTTGTTTTCTTTGTTGTTTTCCCTTTTTTTCCTTCTCCTTTTCACCTTTTTCGTCCCGTGGATTTGCGATTCCATTTCTATTTTTCTACTTACCCAATTTCTTCTTCACCCCTTCTTTCATCTCCATTATTTTCTCTCATATTTTCCCCGCTCTTTCTAAATCATCGTCATTGTCTCTTTTTCGTTACTTTTCCCCTATTTCTCTGACTCTATCGTTTTTCGTTTTTCAGTTTTTCATTCTCTCTCTTTTTTTTTCTTTTTGTTAATCTAATCTCCTTCTACCTCTTTGGTTATGACAGTAGGTCAAATGATATCAAGTCTTGAACGATGAATTTGATCACTATTTCCTTGCTTTTGCGTCGAGGGAAAACGTGAAGTTCTTTTCGTTTGAATTAGTTTTAATAAACTATTTTCTCGGGTGCCAGTCGAAATAACTTGTAAGTGAAGCTCTGTTCAGTCACACTAATCCTGATCGGCACGCCACACAGCAACTATAGTCAATCAACTAATTGAATTGGGCTAGCTGCTCAACGCTGCCTTGAATAGTTTTAAACACCACTCACATCTTGGGCATTCAGTCGACTATTTGCTTGCATAACCTATATCTGAAATGTAAGAAATTAGATCTAGATAAATGTCAAGTCTGAATCAAGGCCATGTTTTAAGTATATGTAATTAGATTGATATACAGCCCAAAGATTAAAATTTAGTCATCTTTTAAATAGCTTCATCGAGAGTTTTACATGTATGTTATGCTTGGCGCCAAACTAATTTAGAAATATGTAGACTGTCACGACCTCTTTCTAAGACAGATGATTAAAAATGGCTTCGAACGAATGAACCGTGTATTTCTTAACGGGCACCATCTTTCTTCCGATCCTTGTTGACTGGCGCTACAGAATTGCAAAGAATTAAATTCGCAAATGCACTGTGGAGTAATGGATAGCGACTCGGACTGAGAAATCGGAGAGTCGAGTTCGAATTCCAGCTGGATCCATTACATTCACTTACGTGCTAATACCCTTGAGAAAGTTATGAATACTTTTCTTTTGTAGCTATGGGCAAAATAGCAGGACAGACCGTGTTCTATAGCCTTGGATAGCAACTGGTCTACCGCCGAAAGAAGTGACAACCTACTGCGGGAAAAAAAATCTGCCTCGTCAGTCATGTATCGAAAGGTACATGATCGCCTAAGCGTGTATCACACATGGCACATAACTGACTGATTCATCAGATAGCGAAAAATGTACCTGTTTAAATAAATTCATTTTAATTTTCACAAAGAATACACAGGAAAATTATTTGATTAAATTTTCAAATTTAGGCAGCAAATATATTCCAGTATTCTATATCACAAATGTATGCTGGTACTAGGAGGCATGGTGATGTAATAGATAGCGGCTTGGAGAACCGAGTTCGAATTCCAGTCAAATCCATTACATTCACTTACGTGCCGACACCCTTGGGAAAGGTATGAATCCTCTTCTTCTCTCCCCAGCTATGGGTAAATAGCAGGACATACTGGATTCTATAGCCTTTGATGACAACTGGTCTACCGCAGAAAGGACTGCCAACCTAGCGCGGGGAAAAATCTCCCTCGTCAGTCATGTATCGAAAAATCGCCTAAGCGTGTATCACGCATGGCACATAACTGAAATGACAGAAACCACATCACTTTCAACAGCCGTAAGAAATAAAATAAATAGCATGTATCTTGAAGAGAAAATAATGGTGCAAACAAGATTTCCCAGTACTCCAAACAAAAGGTTAGGGAGGTTAATCACTTTTGTGATGTCAACGAATACACGTTGCCACTTTTGTGATGTCAACGAATATTCATTGCCACTTTCGTAATGCTCGTTGTAGTAGAGGCTTTGTAATCGTAGATACAACTATAGTAACGCCGTTGAACAATACTGGTGTCAGACGCCTTCGAATGAAACCCTCACTAATAGTACTTGCTCGATGATACTCGCTCGAATAGTAACCACCGTATAGTGATCTGAATAGAGAAATAGTTTAGTGAAAATGAAAATGTATTTTTATATTTCTAGTAAGGGGGTTAACTATTTGCTCATAACTGGGACCCTAACAGGTGCTACCACCCCGGATTAGTTGTTTATTTTCATACATAGGACACTTAAAAAATAAGTGTGTTAGCTTGTTTGTTTAGTGGCATATCAACTCCTCATGGGTCATTTAATGCCGAAATTTAATTTTCTTGAGAGCATTAATAATTTCTGGCAATTTGTTTTTTTCTTGAAAAATGTATTGCTGTGAATTTTATTTTACAAAATGTATTCCTGATACTAACTTATATATATATATATATATATATATATATATATATATATATATATATATATATATGTGTGTGTGTGTGTGTGTGTGTGTGTGTGTGTGTGTATTGCTGTTAATGTTTTGTTTTCAAAAATGTATTGTAGGTAATAACTTTGTCTTTACAAAAATGTATTGCTGATATCTTTTTGTTGTGGATTCCGGGTTGAAATCCGGTACCAATAAATAACAAACGCCAGGAATGAATATATGAAAATAATGTATTAACGTAATACTACAAATGGGTAAAGCAGGTTAGTAGTTCCAGGAATACTGGTGTCAGACGCCTTCGAATGACACCCTCACTAATAGTACTTGCTCGATAATACTCTCTCAAATAGTAACCAGCGTATAGTGATCCGAATAGAGAACTAGTTTAGTGAATAGAGTAGTCAATAGTGGTTCATTTAGTAATAGAGGATAGAGTAGAAATAGTGATCCGTATAGTATAGAGGATAGACTAGGAATAACGATCGTTGTCGTCAGCAACTTCGTACATATATGCGTTTTCTCTATGGTCACGTGGTCTACTTAATTCAATAATGGGATCGCCTGTGTTTGCTCACTGGCGATCTATGTTCAAACTCAGGTGTCAGCAGCGACACTTTGATCCTATGTAACAGAAACACTCTATTGAATAGAGCGATAACAGTTATTAGATCTGAGAATCATATTTTATTTTTAAAAAATATTTTAATAGAAAGATTTTATAAATTTCAACTGCCAACAACACTGGTGGTACGGTCAATGAATGCCAAATGTTTCCTTGTAGGGAAACGGCTAATATTTAGCATTATTGTTACCATAAGGGGCCTAGATAACAATGAAACTCGGAAATTCGATAAAAAAAAACTTTCCGCGCTAGACGTGAACTTTGATTGACTTTCTCAATAGTGATTTATTAAGAGTACCTTCAGTGTGACGCAAAGTTGCAAGTACGGAGTAACGAGGTGGGATCGAACTCATTACACAGTCAAAACTGATCTAGCGAAACAAGCCTGGTAGCAATTATATCATGTCGAAGTTACAATGGCAATAATCTATTATGCATTATTGTAACTCGGACAAATTGTTATCAAGAAATTGTTATTACATAACGCTGGAGTTAGCAATTATATAAACATTCGAAAGAATAAATAAATATTTACTAGGGCAACATTTTGAAAATACCCTGGAGCAAATCTAAACAGAGCCGTGATCGGGGGAAATCCCCTACATTTATATATATAATTCTCAAAACATGTGTGTGTATGTAGTGATTTTCTAAGTCCGGCTTAGATTTGGCACAAGGCCGAAAGTATGGGGCACCCAGTGAGGATCGAAATCACGCCTTAGTCGTAATTGATCAAGCAAGACAAGCTTTCTAACCATTACACCACGTCAAGGTGCCCTATGTGTGTGTATGTATGTGTGTGTTTGTGATCGGATGTTGTTTATGCATTTCCACAGTTTTCATTCGATTTCGATGAAATTTTTTGTTTGATAGATAATTCTTCAGTGCCGGTTTTCAATCCAAATTGTTGGCGACAATGGCCCTCCATTACTTCCTGTCCATTTGTTGTGGTAGAATCCACCTTATTTTGCATAGTGGAGTACCGACCATATAAATATGGTTGGTACCGGGAAGAGAGGAAGGAATCAAGAGATTCAACCAGAGACTCTGCCCGACTGCGACTCAGTCAACACATTCTCCAGGAACGGTCTTACCAGGAATATACAAAAGACTATATGTAAATATTGTGTACACTTTCTTGTTTTCAATACATTTTGTTCTAAGTACATTTTGTGTTGCATTATTATTCCATGCATTAGTCAAGTTTCAACACTATCTATCTATCTATCTCACCTTGTTTATCTATCTATCTATCTATCTATCTATCTATCTATCTATCTGTTGTTTCAACATTTATAACTCTCAGCAACGTTTACGATCTGTTCTTGGATATATACCTTTCATAAAAAAACTTTAATAAAAATAAATAGTTTAAATTATTACAATAATATTATTTATTATTATACAGATTCCCTTTTCAAGGGAACCTCCCATTCAAATTGTTCACCCCCTCCCATTTGGGGATGTGCCTCAGTTGCACCCAACTTTTGTTACTAATATTGATTTTCAGGTGGGCTGATTTTAAACTTAAACTGCTCCAGTTGAACGGTAAAAATTCTCAATAATAAAAGACCCGGTCAAAGACGGGTTATACTACTAGTGAAGTCTATATATTACACCCATGTATCAATTAATTGAAACGACCGCCTTATTTTTCATTTCTTTCACCATACGGTCAGTGTTTAGACTCACTGGAGTGACAGGATGTAATCGATTTCTGTTTATTCCCCAGATTAGGTCATATGCAGTAATATGAATCTTTTTTTTCGGGGCGCTTGATGAAATTTGTTTGGCCTTGAAAAATATTGCGTCATCTGTGATTACATCAGATTTTCATCACGCCAAGACACTATTGTTCCGACTGTCGATTAGTTGTCCTACAGTCATTGTCTCTGATGGACGTTACTCCAAGGAAGAGTACGAAAATGTGTAACGCTGCACGAACACACTGGCAAGCCTTACCATTGAGCAAATCAAAGTACTAGACTGGCCCAGAAACTCTCTTAATTTAAAACCAATAGAGAATTTGTGGCCAGTCTGAGAGTGTTATAATGGAACACACCTATTCTATTGTTAATAGACTCTTCCACTTATAATAAGTAGGAGTAGCAAGAGTAGTAGTGGCAGTCGGCAGAGAGTTAGTCAGTCAGTCAATGTCGGACAACCGTTAGTCGGATATTAAAGTATCAGCCACCCCAACTAGATTACTGCGCCATTACCTATTATATCTAGTTCCTAACGTTTTGTACGTCGAACCTATTTTAGGACCGACTTAGTACAAATACAAGCCTCCACTGTGAAACCACTACATAACAGAGAGGAACGACTTCGTGGAACATACGAAATACTAACATGGGCACTGGGTCATGTTTCATTGGAAATATATCAAAACAAAGTAAGAGGGTGTTTATTCGTGGGAGAGCGATTATTGGTGGAAGGACGATTATTCTGGTCAGGGCACCAATTTGTTTGAGGTTCTTGTTCGACAGGGGCGTTTATTTGAGGGTGGGATTTTATTTGTAAGAGAATATTTATTGGTCAGGGCGCTTCTTTGTAGCAGGTCGATTATACGAGTTAGGGCGCCTATTAGTGTTAGGTATTCGAATGAGGCGATTATTCGGGAAAGGTGTTTATTCGTGGGAAAATGATTATTCACGGGGGGGGGTTATTATTTGTGAGAGAGCGCTTATTTGTGGGATGCGCTTATTCAAGAGAGACGTTTATTCTAAGGCAGGCTATTAATCGTGGGAGGGTGATTATTCGCGTTAGTGCGCCTATTTGTGGAAGGGTCTCGTTCGGGAAAGGCAGTTATTCGTGAAAAGTCTTTTAATCGAGCGGAGGTACTTGTTCAAGGCAGGGTTATTATTTGAGGAAGACACTTTCGAGAGAGGTATTTATTCTAGGCAGAGCGATTATTCGTTCAAATAATTTTTTAACTATATCATTTTAGTCAGATTGTATTTTTTTCCTTCTTAGTCTTTTCAATTGTTTTTTTTTTTTTTATTAGGATTCTTCCATTTTAGGTCTATACACTTCTCCGTTGATTTATCTATTAGATTTTCTTGTGGATTCCTATCATGCTCGGCTAAATTTTAATTTCTTTCCTTTGATTTCCTTCAAAATCATTGCTTTATATCATTCCGATATTTTGCTAGGATAATTTGCTTTTCTTCTTTTTTTTTAAATTTTGTCTTTTAAATCAATATTTCTTTCATTCATTTCTTCATTGTTATGTTTTTCTTTCTTGTCATTTCTTTTATTTATTTTTTCTCACTTTCTTTCTTTTTTGTTTGCTTTCTTTTTCCTCATTTTCTTTCTTTTTTGTCTTTATTCTTTCTTTATTTCCGTTTGAGTTTTTCCTTTTTGTATTTGTATTTCTTGCTTTTTTTCTTTGTTCTTTTCCTTTTATCTTTTTCATTCTTTCATTTTCTCTCTTTCTGTTTTCTTTCTGTTTGTTCATTTTATTCTTTCTTTTTCCTTTGTTTTTTTCCATATGTATTTTTCTGTCATAATTTATTTTCGCTTTCTTTTCTTCTGTTTTGATTCTTTTCTTTTCTTTCTCACCTTATTTTTGCCATCTTTCTTGCTTTTCTTTCTTTCTTTCTGTTTATTCTTTCTTTCTTTCCATCTTTATTTCCTCTGTCTTCATTTTTCTTCTTTATCAATCATTTTTCATATCATTTTCAGTCTATATTCTTTCTTTCTTTCTTTCTTTCTTTCTTTCTTTCTTTCTTTCTTTCACTCGACCCATCCCGATCGATATAAAGACAGAAATCATTTGATTTATCCATTTACTCGGGAAACGGTCTACAAGCCGGAAATGGAAGTTTCCCTTCGATCGCTATATTTTCATTTCAGTGAATTTTCTTTCAAACAGTCCCTACTTTGATGTCGTGTACTGACTTTTGGTTACAGATCCATGAAATTTTGTTGACAGAGCTACAGTTATTGAAGACTTTGATATTATATACGAAACAGCGGCTTGTAAAAGTGGAAGGATAAAATGGCAAGTGACCAAGCGACATAATTTAAAAAAAAAAAATGGAATAAAGAGAAGAAGAATAAGGATTAAGATTAAAAAAATTTTGAAAGAAAAATGAAGAGATAAAAAGGATAGAATTTAGGAGAAATTTAAATAATTATAAGTAGAGCAGAACATGGAAGGAAAAACAAGAGACAAAGCGGAAAAAAGAGAGACTAAAATGTTAAGAATAGGAAAAAAGCAAGTAAACGAAAGGGAAGAAAAGAAATTAAGGAAAAAAAAGAACACAGACAAAATGAAAGAAAGAAAGAAAGAAAAAAGAAAGAAAGAAAGAAAAGGACAGGAAAAAAAAACAGTGATTATGCTGAATCAATTGTTAGGCCCGTTGCTGACAACATTGGTTTACTATATCGTGCTGAGCAGTTTTTCTTGTCAGAATCCATGTTGCACATTCATAAATCAACCTTTTCGACCGTGCATCAAATATTACAACCATATCTGGTCTCGTGCTCCTGATATATATCTCGAGATTGTCGACAAAAAACAAAGAATGGGCTTTAATGTTAAGGGTCCTGATCTGGCATCTTGACTTCAGCCACTATCTCATCGACGTAACGTGACTTCCCTTTATTTTCTAGAAATATTTTCACGGTATCTGTCTATATTTCTGAGATGAGGTATTATGTACACTATTTACATTATTCGGACTATGGAGCCCATCTTTGTCACCATATTTATTACAACGTTTCGGCCTTGCGAACTGAACCATTTATTTCGCTCACTGGGGTAGACTCTTCATATAAGGCAGGCAGACTGTTTTGTCAGTGTTGTCGTGCTCCTCTTGTACCCGCCAATCCCATTTTTTGTGGCTGCCATGTACCCAGGGTAATTGTAGGGTACAACTTATACTGACCAATTCTTTATCTAATGTATAATTCTGTGGTTTATACTGCAACTATGCTGAGCAGGCCTAATTCCACGTGCAACGTTATCACCTGTTAATTCCCCTCTCAAAGTTCTCCACCGCCTTTGCCAGGTATTGAACTCACACTCTTTGGGTCCTGTCACTGGATCTTACTAACGCCTTCATGCACTGGGCCATGTGTTATTGAGAACATCTGTGTATGAATTTCTGGGTATTATAGGTTGCTGAAGACATTAGGTATTAGAAACGTAATGTCTTCAGTATCATTTTTTACCAGTGCTCACATTACAATTTTTGCTGTTATCATTTTATGTTTTTCTCTCGCACTCCTTATTACTGATTCCCATATTGTATTCATTTCTATGCTTGGTCGGCTCAGGAGATTTTTTGTGGCCTAGCATATGTACTGATTCCTTAAATTTACAAATTTTCCAATGATGTTCTTTGTCTATGATTTCAACCTGATCCTACAGAGGGCGGTGATCTCACTTTTCTCTCCATATGTGGTCAGCCATGACTGATTTTTCCATTTCCCCTCGTGTTATAGCTTTCTGGTGTTCTTGAAGCCTTACCTTAAGGGGGCGGCCTGTCCCCCTTTTATATTTCTTTCCGGAGCTGCATGGGATAGCGTACACACAATATTTAGTCATGTTCTCAGCTATGGGGGGTGTCTTACGCGAGAGATATGTCTGCGAAGTGTCGTCCAGATTTTGAAGGTTGTCCTGATGTTATATGAACCGCAGATCCTTTGTATTTTCTCTGATAAACCCTTCACATAAGGCAGGCAGACAGTTTTCTGTGTGTTGTCGTCCTCCTCTTGTACCCGCCTATCCCAGTTTTTTTGTGGCTGCTGCCATGTACCCAGAGTAGTTGTAGGATACTACTTATACTGACCAATTCTTTATCTAATGTCTAATGACTAAACACACACGGAACCATTCTGTGGTTTATACTGCAACTATGCTGAGCCGACCTTAGCTACAGTTTCTGGGAGAGAGCCTGTTGTCTAGGGTGATCAACAATTTGGACATGGCAAGCACTCTCATGCCCTCGGCCATGATGAATTACGGTTTTGTGTTAGCACACCTATCCACGGCCCTCAAGAGTTCCGTTTACCCAATTTCACTCACGAGACTTGGGTCAACCGTTATATATATATATATATATATATATATATATATATATATATATATATATATATATACGCACACACACACAAATACACACACAACACAAATATATATATATATATATATATATATATATATATATGTGTGTGTGTGTGTGTGTATTTATGTATGTATATTCTTAATAGAAATCTTATAAGTATAAGAAACTATACTCGCTCGGAAAACCTTCGGTATATTGTTTTGCCAATACCAAAGGTAAAAAAAGGTATAAAAAAAGAAAGAACCAAGAACATGTACGTTAGCCGAAAATAATCGTCCTGTAGACGAGTTCAAGGCCCAAAGAAAAAAAACCCCGATGCGAGTATCCAAAACAAGTAAATAAAGTGATCAATACAATGAATAGAGCATACCTAGTTAAACCTAGAGAGCCAGACAAACCTACCAAGGTTTCACCTACGCTGATCGTCAGGGAAGGCTGGCTATTTTTGACCGAAAGGTCAAAGCAAGTCAGATCCAATCACCGTTTCCCCTAGATTAACTCATGCCGGAGAGCGCATATTTTTTAATTATTTCATCGAATATTCCAGCCGGTAGATCGATATAAATAAATATACTTTTTAATACATAAATAAATAAAAACATAGTATCTACTCAAATATGGCTATCCATTAAAATAACACAATAATTATATATATATATCTATATCTCTATATATATATATATATATATATATATATATATATATATATATATATATATATGCACATATGCATAAAAGAAGAAACCAGCTTGAAAATAAAAAATAAAATGAACTTTACTTCCGAAAGAATCTCCAAGAGAGACGAAATTCTTAAGTATGTCGGATACATTTTCCAAAATTTTGTATGCCTTGGAGTCCAGCCCAAGACAATTTAGTTGGCAGGTGTTGCAAAATGCATAATGTAATTTCTTATTCTCAGTAGACCTGGTGCCAAGCATTTAAGAAAATTACTAACCATTGTTTAGATTTGAAATTCTACGGGAAGGTCCGAAGTGGTTAGCTTTCTCATTAAAAATTAATACTGTCGGCGAATGACTATCATTTCGACTTGCGGTAAATAACTCATAGCGAGACAGACGTTGCAGTAATTAGCTACAGCCTACACAGAGATATTTACTTAGGTAAGTTTAGTTTCATACAGTAATTGGAAAAAAATGTTGTAAAAGATGTTTCGTTGTACTTATCTTTAAAATTATTATTTGAAATTGTGACATCTTTTTTTAAAATCTTATATCTTGGTTTTTTTTTACTACATTACAGTTTTATATGGCTTAGATTAAGTTACATAGAATTAAGGACTTTTGGATCATACTGAAAAGCGACAAAGATATGCTTTTTCACAAAGTGAAAAATAAGCACTCTTCAAAATTTAGTCGATTTGCGTTCATTCTTCGATAATGTCCAAAGTATTTGGACACAGTCTGTCAGTTATGTGCTATGCGTGATGCACATTTAGGTAATCATATATCGAAAGATATATGACTGACAAGGCAGATTTTTTTTTCCCACACTAGGTTGCCATTTTTTTCTATGGTAGACCAGTTGTGATCTAAGGCTATAGAACGCGGTCTGTCCTGCTATTTACCTATAGCTGTTGGTAGAAGAAGAGGATTCATATCTTTCCTAACGTAAGTGAATGTAATGGATTCGACTGGAATTCGAACTCGGATCTCCGATTCCTCAAATCGAGACGCTATCCATTACTCCAATCGCCAAATTGTGTCCTGACAGCATAGTGCCTAGAAAAAGAAGTAGAAGAAAAGTAAAATAGAGGTTAAGGGATAAAATTCGGTGCTCACCAAATAATGAATAGCAGACATTAAATAAGCTTATTCAAGATCGTAAAAAAGTGGTGAGACTGTATTGTATTTGCCAGTATCCTTTTATCATTTCGAACTATTCATCCGATGTTTTTTGTATTATAGATTTTAATAAAGATAATATGAGAACAATAGTTTTAAATAATAAAATAATATTGAAAATTACTCATCTTAGAACTGAGATACTAAATTATCAAAAGCATTACATTATCGCCATTATAAACAAATGTCAAGACCATCTGATATTGAATATAAAAGGTTTCAAAAACGCAGGTTCCAACGTTGTGGATATAAGACTTGGTTATTGTTGTGGCCTTGTTAGGGCCAGAAATAAAGACACAAAGAGAGGTATTGAGTTAAACAAATATATTAACAGGTAACAGTAATACAAATATATACAAACAAGAGTGTTACAGGAAGAATGTTCGGTCCATCTCTCAGAGTTGACTTCTGGAAACTTCCCTCTCCAAAAGGCAGTTCCTGCTCTTGTTTATAACTGGAAGAGTCCAACGTGCGTGGGTAAATTATCGTAACAGTTATACATTTTATTACTGTTATCTAGTGGCCACGAAACACCAATTTTTCGGGAACGAACAATAACTGACATGAAAGGAACAAAATATCAACAGATATCTCATTAAGAGGTACACCGGGGTAATGGAGAGTGGCTCGAATTGAGGAATCTTAGAGTTGATTCTTTTTCCTACTACTACTCTTGAGAAGTGTATGAATCCATCTCTTCTCACCACCAGTTAAGTAGCAGAACAGACTGGAGACTAGAAGAAAAAATCTATTATGCTATCGTGCCTGAGAGAGCCCACTGCTACTACGACTACAGTACATGTGGTTTCTCGACGAGTCGCGAGTCCTGTAACCCTAATGTTTCACGGGCATTTCTCGTCCATGTTACAATTCTGCTCGTCCATTTCTTCTTTAGTTAGTTAATAATGGAATATTCAGTTTTGATCGCGAGGAAAAACAGAAAAGACATA